TAGATTCAAAGGTTCATAGATAGATAGATAGATAGATAGATAGGTAGGTAGATAGGTAGATAGGTAGATAGGTAGATAGGTAGATAGGTAGATAGGTAGATAGGTAGATAGGTAGATAGGTAGATAGGTAGGTAGGTAGATAGGTAGATAGGTAGATAGGTAGATAGGTGGATAGGTAGATAGGTAGATAGATAGATACATAGATAGATAGATACATACATACATAGATTACATACATGTATATACATATATATGTGTGTAACATGTGTGAAAAGACATGTATCAAAAAAGCTTAAATGTATTGTAAAGTGAGTTTTACTGTATGTACCGTGAAACATATCTAGACTGAACTGAACATCAGGTATCTTATGTTCAGTATCTAAACTCATACACCATATATCATGCATCACAACGTCATGGTATCAAAATATCACAAACATATATATATGCATAGGGTATATACAGTGTATGTTCAATCAATCGGAAACATATGTATTTATATGTATTGCACTTGCTCTATCAAACATGTACATCATGTATCATGTATACTAATCGATATGCATTGTATGTATTTGCTCTAGATTCTAGATGTACCGTATACCTTAAGTTGGTAGATGTACCGTATCATACCCTGAGTTATTGTACATGTAAACAGAATTTGGTGTATGTATGCACACACTGTATATGTGCATGTGTATGCGTCTGTGTAGGTACACACAGTATACGTGCATGTGTCCTTATAATGATTTTTTGTGTATAATTAACTGGATTCAAAGTGTGGTATGTGCATACCATTTATATATATATATATATTTTTGCTATATACATAGTTATGAACTTTCATTTGGGAATCTTGGATGCAATTTGGTTTGGCAGAGCTGTGGCAGAAGCCTCTGATACGCAGTGCCAAATTGACCCCGACACTTAAGTCTGTAAGTGCCCAGCACCGCTCGCCCTTGTCTTGCCCGCTGCCCCAAGTCTCAGCCTGCACAGGACGCAGTTGCAACAGGCACTGGCCACACAGCGTACTACAGGGCGCACGACCTTTAATTGGCCGTGGTACAATCTGCATTCTCAAATCTCAGAAACGTGTCTGGCGTTGTGGCGCCGTATCGATTTTGATATCTTAGCTGTGAAAATCAGGGTTTTGAAATTTCACAAAACTACCTGTTTTTTGCACATCATCTGCTCGACGCTGCCCCTTTTTTCTTCCATGGTCTTAGCGGACTTGTTTAGCGGCTTTAAACAACTTTGCTAGGAAGACACTTGGCTGACACGGTCCCAGCAGCTTTCGCCACATGAACTGTTGAACTAATTTCTTAAGCTCAGGATGTTCTTTCACTTGGGTGTGGCAGCCAAGACGTCTAGGAAAGCTACTTGGAATGATTTTTCAAGGACAGCCATCCACGGTCAGCAATTTGCGTGCCGGCTACTTTTGGAACATGTTATAAGCGTAGCATCAAGAGCGTGTCAGAAGTTCCAAGAGCATGTTAGGAGCGTAGCATCAAGAGCGTGTCAGAAGTTCCAAGAGCATGTTAGGAGCGTAGCATCAAGAGCGTGTCTTAAGTTCCAAGAACATGTTTTAAGCATAGCATCAGAATCAAGAGCGTGTCTCAAGTTCCAAGAACATGTTAGTAGCATAGCATCAAGAGCGTGTCAGAAGTTCCAAGGACAGCTTAGTAGCGTGTCTGAAGCTCCAAGAAAATGTTAGAAGCGTAGCATCAAGAACGCGTCTGCAGTGCCAAGAGCATGTTAGAAGCGTAGTATCAAGAGCGTGTCTGAAGTTCCAAGAACATGTTTTAAGCGTTGCATCAAAAGTGTGTCAGAAGTTCCAAGAACATGTTAGAAGCGTAGCTTCAAGAATGTGTCTGAAGTTCCAAGAACATGTAGGATTGTGTCAGAGGTTTCAAGATTATGTTAGAACACAACAAAGAAGCGTGCGAGAAGAACGTTTTTACACCCCCCAACCCCCAACCCCAGAAATATAGAAAAATGTAGGAAAAACGCCAAGGGCGTGTACCTCCGACTACATAAGTAACGTAGCATGAACAATGTCAAAAAACAAGTAACGCGGCATGAAAAATGTCAAAAAATACACAAAACCACACGGCCAAATAAAGGTTGTGGTCCTACTACACAGAGGTTAAAATTCTGCAGGTCTTTTCCAAGCCATGAGTGTGTCTTAGTGCTCCCATGTTTAACAGCCTGACATTAACATGGTAGGCCCGGCCGAGCATCTGAGTTTACACTTGGCGATGTGTTTTTTTTCCGACTGTCTGATGCTTTTTGTTGCACGGGTAGATGTCGGCAGAATTTGTGCTGATCGATTCGGTCAGTCGAGGGCTTTTTGGGTGGGCACTTTAGGTAACATGCTATTCAATTTGGTCCAAATTCAGGGATGCCCACAGAGAAGACAATATCCAACCCACTATTTGCAATCAATTGAAGTCGCTTGTGCGGTTGCCCAAGGCCTAGAAAGTTCAGCCGCTTTCTAGGATCCTGGTTCGATCTAGCTGCCTAGCTAAGCTCTGCCATTTGGAGCCTGATGGTGGTGAAGCAGTGAAGCATCTGTTACATCAGGCCCGTGCAAATCTGAGGGAGGGAGGGAGGGAGGGAGAGAGACAGAGGGCACACTGATCCTGCACCATATTGAGATCACAGCTGAGAGCCAACATTCCACCCACCATTTCTTATCGTTCAGTGTCGGTATCAAAGGGACCGCCCCATCAACACATGACTTTTTCCCGAGAGCGTCTGAGCGCAGGGTTCTTCCAATAGTGGGGGTCTGTATCTCATCTTCTCATCTTCTCATCTTCACATCTTCATCTCATCTTCTCATCTTCACATCTTCTCATCTTCACATCTTCTCATCTTCACATCTTCATCTCATCTTCTCATATTCATCCCATCTTCTCATCTTCACATCTTCTCATCTTCACATCTTCACATCTTCACATCTTCTCATCTTCTCATCTTCTCATCTTCATCTCATCTTCTCATCCTCACATCTTCTCATCTTCACATCTTCTCATCTTCACATCTTCTCATCTTCACATTTTCTCATCATCTTCACATCCTCACATCGTCACATCTTCTCATCTTCACATATTCTATCTTCACGTCTTCTCATCTTCACATCTTCACATCTTCTCATCTTCACATCTGCTCATCTTCACATCTTCACAACTTCACATCTGCTCATCTTCGCATCTTCTCATCCTCACATCTTCACATCTTCACATCCTCACATCTTCACATCTTCTCCTCTTGCCTTCTTGCCCTCTTGCCCTCTTGCCCTCTCCTTCTTTTCTATTTCTCTTCTGAATGCGGGGGCAGGGGCAGTGCCAACGAGACGGCACGAAACGCAACCCTTTCGCACGAAATGAGGTTCGATCGCCAAAAACTGAGGTAAAATTGCGATTTCAACTTCTCCCGCGCAACCCTTTTGCGCGAAATGAGGTTCGATCGCGAAAAACTGAGGTAAAATTGCGATTTTAACTTGTCCCGCGCAACCCTTTCGCATGAAATGAAGTTCGATCACCAAAAACTGAGGTAAAATTGCGATCTCAAGTCGTCCCGCGTAACCCTTTCGCACGAAACGAGGTTCCTCTGTGTGTAAACGTGTCTGTGTAAAAGCTTCTGTGTGCTGTGTGTAAAAGCTTCTGTGTGTAAAAGCCTCTGCGGTGTAAAGTGTAAAGCGTCTGTGTGTAAAAGCGTTTGTGTGTAAAAGAGTCTGTGTGTAAAAGTGTCTGTGTGTAAAAGTGTCTGTGTGTAAAAGCGTCTATGTGTAAAAGCTTCTGTCTGTAAAAGCAACTCTGTGTAAAAGCGTCTGTGTGTAAAACTGTCTGTGTGTAAAAGCGCCTGTGTGTAAAAGCGTCTGCGTCTAAAAGCTTCTGTGTGTAAAAGCTCCTGTGTGTAAAAGGGTCTGCGTGTAAAAGTGTCTGTGTGTAAAAGCTTCTGTGTGTAAAAGCGTCTGTGTGTAAAAGCGTCTGTGTGTAAAAGCGTCTGTGTGTAAAAGCTTCTGTCTGTAAAAGCAACTCTGTGTAAAAGCGTCTGTGTGTAAAACTGTCTGTGTGTAAAAGCGCCTGTGTGTAAACGTGTCTGTGTGTAAAAGTGCCTGTGTGTAAAAGCGTAAAAGTGTCTGTGTGTAAAAGCGTCTATGTGTAAAAGCTTCTGTGTGTAAAAGCTTTTGTGTGTAAAAGCGTCTGTGTGTAAAAGCTTCTGTGAGTAAAAGTGTTTGCGATGCAAACTATTGTCTTGTACTTGTGCTATATTGTCTTGATACTACTCTTCTCGTCTGCCTACAACACATCTTTAATATATTGTTTTGTAAGATGGTGTCTCCATACTAACAAGAGAAGACCCTGCTCCTCTACGCTCTCGGGCCATCCGTCGTCTAGTTTTGTTGCGTTTTTTTGTGCGCTACATAGAGGTCAACTTCATTTAGGCTTTGGCGTGAGGTCATTCGCGAAAATTCAGGTGGGGGCTTGTTGTCTAATTCACTATTGGAACAACCGGCAATGGTTTCCTGCTTTCAAAACTGTTCAGTTGGCTATTTGCTTGGCAGGCTTTTGTGTCTAGAAGCTTGATCTGTTCGGGCTTCACAAGATTTTGAAGACTGCTTCTGTCACTCATAGAGCTAGATTTGGACAGGTTGCACGCTGAACTGAGCGGGTCAAACTCAAAAGAATGTTTCCTTGACAGTTGTGGAGGCAATACTGGTCTTCTTCTAACCGGTTGTCTCCAAAATCAAGTTACATGAGCGCACACCCTTGGCTATGCAGAGCAAATCTAACGAAAGCAAACTCAGAAAAGTTTTAAACCAATCCGTGGCATGAAATCAAGGGCCACTAGTGATAGGCAGGAAAAAAAGAACACAAAGTCCAGAAATCCACCAAGGTAAAAAAGCGACACAATCCAAAACAATATACAGTCTATAATATAATCTATAATATAATATCCTTGGGTTGCATAGAAATTACATAAATTATTCAAGCTGCCTTGTTGAAGCCTTCTCTGCTGCTTGCCAATCTTCGAAATCTGATTTCACCACTGCAACCACAATCAACACCTTGGCACGGCAGAGAGTGAGCGAGCTCTGAAAGGCTTTGACTGACATGTTTTGAGCCTTTCCTCAGCATTGAGGTCAGCACACTCGAGCCGTTCATCTACTTCGGTAAACTGGTTGACTGCTTCACCACTTTCCTCACCAGGGGCGAGCCCGCTGGGAAAGTATGTTGAACAGGTTGAACAAATGGATCAGCCTTTGGCCAAACAGTGCCGGAAGGCAACAATGTTGAATTTGGAAAAACTACTGGGACTAGGATGGGCTGGGCAAAGGCCCGCCCAACAGATCCCAGTTCTGAACCATGGTGTAGGGCATATTTTGGGTGACAGCGCCTGGATTTTGCAGGACTGTTGTCACATTTGCAATGGGGGATTAGATCAGCTAGAGCGTCTTCCCAGGCAGCGGCACACCTTTTACTCACACAGCCAATAGCCAGTCGGCGCGGTGTCTAGACTACAGGATCTCTCTTGAGCCTTGAAAGTGTATGTAAAGTGCGCTCAATACCCGTGCTATATCCACATAGGATTCAGCCCAAAACAAAAACACAGGCACAAATTCAAAGGCAATGAGTTGAGCACTTCGCTTTGTCGTACCCAATTGAGCGTAAGAGTTTTAGCCCGTAACTAGTCTACACGCTGGCTAGTCACAAAAACGAGCAGAAGTTGCGCAGTGGTTTCTTTACAAAAACAAACGGAGCGCTAGCGGATTGATTGCGACAAAATGTCCTACAGACACATCAAAATTGAAAGCAGCGGATTTGCGAATTATTTTTCTCGACAATGGTGCGCGAAACACGGTCGATCACAGCACAATGCTCTACCGGTGTGAAAAATTCTTCCTCAAACGTTCGAATTGCAAGATTCAGAAATTCGGGTCAGATGGAAAACAGTTGACCGAATCACAAAATAAACGGATGAAATCGGATCTCCAAAGTCGCTCATTCAAGCAGACAATGGACAAAATTCAGAGTTGGTATTTGATTCGTTCGCTACAAAATTTGATCTGCTCGGACAATGCCGAATTCTGTGAACTGAGTGCTCCATCCATTGTCATACATGAATATCACAAGTTTCTCAGTGCACTTGGATTGTTGGGAATTTGCAAAGAAGAATCTCGAAATTGTTGGCTGAATTTCCTACCAGAGTCCACTGTTGGGATGTGAGTCAACATAACTGCAAAAAGCTTCAACTTCCCGTCGAGGGCCCATAGCTCTTGTGCATCCAAGGTCCAGGATACAGACAGTTGGTGGTGCAGAATAAAGCTGATCCATTCTCACATGCCAGATCAGGTTGTATGGTATGGAAAGAAAAAGCACTCTTCTGCTCATCTGATTCCTCTATCTCTTCAGAGCATTCAGAATGAGATGGTATCTCTGTCTTCTCAGAGTATCCATATGTAAACTTTTGCCAACGGCTTCCATGAAGCCTCACCATGTTGTAAACCAACTTCTCAGGGCACTGATGCTGGTCGTCGTTGTAGACCGAAGTGTGCCAAGATCTCCAACCAAGACAGGAAATTTCTTGGATCCTTTTCTGTTTGGCCGTGCCACTTCATCACATGGTTTTGTCCTCCTCGACGAGTGCGTCTCATGTACTCTTGCTCTTCATAGGTGGCTGTCAAAACATCCACACGTGCTCGTTCTCTCTCTGCACATGCAAAGAAACCATGACCTGAGCTTGATGCTGCTGAAGAGTAATGAGCTTGTTGTTGTGGCTAATTCTGTATGGCAGGAGTCGATGAGGTCTGAGGCTGAACATAGTTGGACTTACCTTTGCCGTATCCTGGTTTTCCTCCTTTGCCATCATCATCCTTGCCTTTCTTGCCTTTCTTTCCTTTTCCTTTTCCTTATCCTTTGCTCTGGAAATATCCATACTCACCGAGGTAGTACAGATCTTCATAGGCCCAATAGCCTGCATTCCAGTTCTGATCATCGACCCAATAGCCTTCATGAGATTCATTCCACTCATCTCCTTCATTCCATTCTTCTTCGTATCCTTCTTTGCTCACCATGTGAGCGCGGCCTTTTCTTCTTCTTTCCTCGGCCTTTTCCTTTCCTTGATCTGAAGAACCTTCCTCCTCTGCCTTTTCCTTTTCCTTTTCTTCTGCCTTTACCTTTGCCTCTTCTGGTCTGTCTTCCTTGGAACCTTCTCTGATACCATGTGTAGTCAGCATCACCGTAAACCCAGAAAACATCTTCTAAAGCATCCTCGGAATCCTTCTGCCCCATCTTCATCATCTTCGGCCCAATAGCCGTCAGTTCCTTCTAGTTCTCCTTCTTTCAGAACGAGGAAAGATCTGTCCAATGCCAGAGGGTTGCATCATAGGATTGTCTACTGATACTGAGTCTACTGCTGTCTTTGTAGTGCAAAACATTTCCAGAAAAAGGTCTCTGAGTTGTACTTATCTAGTGTTCGTCCACGGTGTGTCATGATACTCGTAAGTGTGTTCCTCTGATCTTGCGTCAAATCTGCCAGACTTAGAAAAAGCAATGCTGACAAGTTATCACCTAAGGGGAAAGCCATTCTCTGTTGTGCCCTTCTGTTTTCATTGAGTTGTCTGAATGCTGCCAATGCATGTTCATCTGTCCATGGAACATTGACATGCGCTTCTTGTCCTGGAAGAGCTGCTGTAATACTTGCAAGTTCAGCTTGACGATCTTCATGTTCTCGACGACGTTGGGCAACAAATGTGATTGCTTCTGGACTGGTGCTCTCCAAATCTGGTAAGAGATCCATCCAAGACTCAATAAGTCTGTTTCCAGTCAGTTGAAATCTAGTCATCCACTTTTGCAAATCCAGGGTACCTCTGTTGTGCTTCATGAACTGCATGAAACGATACAAGAACACTGTTTGGGCTCCCTTGATGAAATGAGGTCGCAAGAATCTTTTGAAATAGTTCGCACCATCGTTTGGGTCTCTCAACAACTCTCGGTTCAGTAGTCTTTTGTACTGAGATGCTTCACCTTCCAATCTGCTCCTCAAAGCAGGTCCACGTTTTTCCGGTTCCAGCTCTGTGATGTCACACCAATCATCAATTTCATCTTCAAAGGCCAAGAAACTGGTTCGTCCACCGTATGCAGGGGCTACCTTCGTGGTCATCTGCTGTGGCATATGGATTTGAGGTTATTGTTGGGGTGCTCTTCTCATTGCATAAGAGTCATATTGATTCCATCCATCTGCACTCGACAATGTCGAAGTCATCATCATCATCATCATAGCCATGGCGTGCCATATGGGGCTCTACCTGGAGCTCACCTTCAATGAAGGATCACAGCTCCGCTACCGCTTGAAGAGGGGCACTAGCGTCTAGATTAGATCAGCTAGAGCGTCTTCCCAGACAGCCGCACACCTTTTACTCACACAGCCAATAGCCAGTCGGCGCGGTGTCTAGACTACAGGATTACTCTATATCTCTCTTGAGCCTTGACAGCGTATGTAAAGCGCGCTCAATACTCATGCTATATCCACATAGGATTCAGCCCAAAACAAAAACAGGGGGGTTGGCGGTTGGGCGAGTGTGGGGTGTGATAACATTCCTGGCTACATGCACACAGACACACACACACACACTTGCTCAGAACAATCTTTGCCAATTCTGATGTGGAATGCATCTTACGTGCAAAATCACTCCATTAAACCTGACGGGAAAAGTATGAAGACAAGATCAGAGAAGAATCTCGAAGTTTGTATTTCCACATCCTTGCTAGATGCAAATCGTTCCATCCCTGACATCAAGTTTGGTTTGAAATTTGTTTGAAAACGACATGCCGGTTCTTGGCTTAGCCGGTTGCCATTGACGAAAAACTGGAAAATTGCAGGTACGTTTTCACAGGAACATTGCAGCGTCTTCGTTGGCCGCTGACTGCAATGTTCCCCAGCGGCCCCCTGCTTGAAATGAAATGAGAGAATGCCAACAAAAATCAGGGAAGTTTAACTCTTTTCCCGTGCCACAAGAAAAATGAAGAAGGACCAGGCAAAATCGGAAGTAGAAGTTTTACATCTTTTCAGATGGTTCTCACACACACACCCTCCCGCGGGAGGGTGGGAAATTTAAGGGCCGGACAATGAGATGAAAATGAAATTGAAAGGAAATGAAGGTGAGGTGAAGATGAAAATGAGATGAAAGTTACTTAACCAGGACGCGAAGAGGGGAACGCAAAAGAAGAGGGGCAGAGAGAACACCAACACGACACACCTGGCCCGGAGCGGGCAAACCCTGAACCCGGAGCGGGCAAACCCTTGAAAGGGCAAGGGAAAAGAAAAGCGGAGGCCGACGGACACGGGACAAGACCAGCGGAGGGGGGGGAAGACGAAAGCGCCTGAACCAACCTAACACAGCGAAAACCTACGCCTACCTCGGCACGCGAAGGACCCAACCTACCTGAAGAGGGGAGAGCACATGAAATAGGGGACCCATGGGGGACTAGCTAATGAAATGATGCATCCACATGAAGTGCAATTGTCGTGATAAGGCTCAAGGCCCTCGGTATTCAAGTCAACCCCATGGACAGCTTACGTCGTCAACCCTTGAATTACCTGCACAATTGAACCTCACCAGAGTAACCAAAAGAAAGTGACCACACCTGTAAAGCATGTCCTATTGCCTGGCCAATACATGACATGTGACACATGAAATCAGTCTGTCTCTCGAGCATTGCTGAAAAAAGGAGGTTGTTGTCGGGCTTCAGTCTACAAACCCTTGGAAGTCTGACAAAAATGGTGAGGCCAGTCACAGCGGCAGACTGTTTAGCCAAAAGACGACCGACAGAGTGAAACCTGAAAGGTGAACGGCTGTTTCACTTTACTTAAACGAATTACTAAATTAAAATGTGTAAATTCAGACATCGGGTCGTTGCATCCACATTCTGCTTAGAAAAGCATTCCCGAAGGGTTCATGCCACCTTGAGGAATCCAGCATGAATCACACACTTGCTCAGAACAATCTTTGCGAATTCTGATGTGGAATGCATCTTACTTGCAAAAACATTCCATTAAACCTGACAGGAAGACAAGATCAGAGAAGAATCTCGAAGTTTGTATTTCCACATCCTTGCTAGATGCAAATCGTTCCCTCCCTGATATCAAGTTTGGTTTGAAAATTGTTTGAAAACGACATGCCGGTTCTTAGCTTAGCCGGT